TTCTGCAGGCGGTGGCGGCGCGGCCGAGGCGGAGCGCCCGCACCCCAAGCCCTTCCTCATCGGCGTCAGCGGCGGCACCGCCAGCGGCAAGGTGAGCGTCCTCCCGCCCGTGTGTCCGCGCCGCCGGCTCAGCGCGCCATGAACTGGGGCGCGTCCCCCGGGGGGGAAGCGCGATTAGGGGGCGCTGATCTGTCCGCGGCACGGCTCTATCCCGGGATAAAAGGTGGGGAGTGATTTCCAGCACTTGGAGGGGTACCACCTTCCTAGGACCCATCGCTCCCCCCATTGAGTGTCGACGCCAAACCCCCTCCGTAGGATCCTTCGCCTGCCCCAGCTGAGCGACAAAAATGGGGCTGGAAACTCATCTCTGAAGCGTTCTCCGATGGGTTTTGCTTGGGCACCTGCTGGCTGTTTGGGGGTGCGAAGCCTCATGAGGGAGCGGGGATGAGGACCGGGAGGCCGGCAGAGAGCGCCGACCGCTGCGCCGCGTCCGTGCGTGGTCTCCTTCCTGCCCCCGCGCCCTCTCGGGGGTCTGCTGGTGCGAGGGCGAGGGGACGGCAGAGGCAGAGGCAGGGCCCCCCCGGCAGCACTGCGCTCGCCCCGTACTGCTGGGCTCCTTTCTTGTGTTGGGTGAAGCAGGCTCCCCAAGCGCAGCCGGGAGGAGGCAGGGGGGAGCTGAACGTGAGCCCACGGCTCTGCCAGCAAGGGTCAGGGAGGCGTTTTTCAGCTGCCCGTGCTTTGGCTCAGTGCGAAGGGCCGTGCAAGACCCTGAGGTCTAGTCCTTCTTCTTCATTCCCCTGCAAGGTCCTTCTTCTTCATTAAAGCTGCTCTGAGAGCTGCTTTGCGACCATTGCTAGACACTGGTCTTTAAAACCAGTGGGAGAGGGATCCTGGGGTTGCTGCAGAGTGCTCAATTGCCCCACGGCCTGGCAGAGATGGGGCGGGCTGAGCAGGGGTAGAGTGTCCATATTTCTTCCCCGGACCGCTTTTCCAGCCATTTGCAAGCCTCTCCAAAGCCTCGGCCCCTGCTGCTTCAGCAGCGAGCAGTGTAGCAGCCTGGTGAGTTGGAGCAAGGCTTGGAAACTGCCCCGAGGGCTGGCCCACGGCACGGGGCTCGTTTCAGGGTTGCCCTTTGTGGAGCGGGGCTGCGGCTCTGCACCGCACACGTGTTACTGAAGTTTGGTGCGCGCGCTGCGCCGGGTGCTTGGCCGTGACTCAGCTGTGCCGCTTGTTTTCCCCAGTCCACAGTATGCGAGAAGATCATGGAGCTCCTGGGCCAGAACGAGGTGGACCATCGTCAGCGCAAGGTGGTCATTCTCAGCCAGGACCGGTTCTACAAGGTCCTCACTGCTGACCAGAAAGCCAAGGCATTGAAGGGGCAGTACAATTTTGATCACCCAGGTAAAGCTCGCAGGATCTCACATCTCCACTCCTGGTTTCTCCTTCCATTCCCCAGTTTTTACATCTGTAAAATGGGCATAACACTGACTCCATTCCCTCAGTCTCTCTGCAGTATACGTGGCTGGTTGCAAAGCCTGTTTGGCTAGCTGAATAAAAAGCACCTGCAGGGAACAGAAGGCTTGGAAGATGCTCAGGCCTCCATGCAGAAAGGGGGCTGGAAAGGTCCTGATTCTGCCAAAGTTGCATTTTTTCACAGCTGTTGTATTTGTGTAGCACGATTGTACCCCGCGCTAGGATAGCCCCTTCACCTTGCGATGGAGACGTGTTCATCCTGGACGTAACAGCCATTTTTTGCTCCTTAGCCTTGTGCAATAGATCTGCAGATTGCTGATACTCCACGTGGGGCTGCAGTCCGTTTACAGCCGCTAAAATGCATTGAAACGAGCTAAAAATATGGTAAAAGCCCTCCTCCTGGTTCGTCTCAACATAAGCTGCTGTAGGCGGGTGCAGAGGTGTAGTGAGCTCGCTGAGTGCCCAGGGAGGCAGTAGGGGAAGCAGGCGTTTGCCAACCATGGTAGATGGGGCCGGGGGTGGCATGGGCAAGGGAAGGGAAGTCGTATGTGCCAGGGCTGCTGCTCCGGTGACAGCCCCGTGGCTTGACTTCCTAGGAGCAGATCTCAGTGCCCTGTTCCCCACCTCGCTCCCCCTACCCTGCTTTGTGCCTATCCAGGGCAGGGCTGTGCCTGCTCTAGCCTGAACGCACGTAACACCTAGAACGGTTTAATCGCAATTTAATGCTGAAGCGCACAGACATACAAGCTCTTTATTGCAGTTTGAAGCCGGTTGGCACCGTACAACAGTGGAGCGGGGAAAAAAAATCTTTTGAATGTCTTCACTATCAATCATTTCAGTGTTACACGTGGATGCCAAGGGGCCTGTGATGCAAGTCTGGCTGGTGCTCCAAGCATCCCACGCTGCACTGTGCCTCACGCCCCCTGCTCCCCTGTAACCCTGCTGCAATGGGGCTCTCTGGTGCACAGCCAGCACGCTCCTGCCCTTGCCTGTCCCCCTCTTTTGCTGGCAGTTTTAAGCCATGAGCTGCTTGAACTGCTGGGTCAGTAGGAGCAATTGGTGTAAGACCAGGGCATCCCCTCGCCCTCTATTTGACTGCAGCTCATCATCATGTTGTCCCCACATCCCTGGGAACCAAAAAAGCATGGGTCCAGGCACTGGCCCCCCC